ACTTATCACCAAAGACTAGAAGTGTTTTTCGATAAACCGGAAGTGGCCAATTATCTCCTAGTTTACAGGCAAAAGTATATAGAAACTATATATTTTTTGAATCAGTGTGAAAGAAGCTATCATATGAGATCGGAAGTGATATTTACTTCACCGGAAGTAGCACATTATTTCCCTTATTTTACTTAAAAAGTATATAGAAACCACTTATTTATCGCATCAGTATGAAGAAACTTATGATTGGATGCCAATTTTAACTTTGAGTAAATAGGAACTAGCTTCTTTTCAATAACTTTGAAAATAAATGTGGAAAGACCTTCAATTGATCTCTGAACAATTGGTTTTTAATTATTATTTTTTTCTTCTTCCGCCATATTTTTTTCTTACGGTGCTTTGTGGTTATGCAACATGTCGCTTAGATTTTTTGCATATGATATCGAACAGTTATTGTGATTTTGAAACTGACCCTGTTTAGCCGACCACTTTTTTATTGTAAGAGTTATCTCCCCAAGCACTGTTTCTCTTGTGTGCGCATCTCCTTCGCAAACCGTTAAAGATAACGACAAAATTATTTATTCAATTTGCTCGTTAAATCCACAGGATCTTAAGAATAATTTTGACTGAAGCGGTCCGGAGTCTCCATATGAGAGTTATTTCCCCTTTAGTATTTTAATTAAGAAAAATGTCAATGTAATTTGTAAACCATAAGTGATAGAGACCTAGGGTCTTTTGATTTGAGCTTCTTGGTCCAAAACCAAGGAAATTAAGGTCAAGGTCAAAGGTCAAGGTCATGGTCTAAATTTAGATTTTGACTTATTTTCACTTCTTTTCAAAAACCGTATAAGATATTGACAATTAATTTTAACTAAATTGTTAGTTGCGATATTTTGGTTGAAAGGGTGCGTAGACATTAAATGGGAGTTTTAGCCCTTCTTATATTTAGAATTATGCGTAAAGTAATATAACTCATTAACCATATATGATAAAGGCCTAGGGTCTTTTGATTTGATGTCCTTGGTTTTTGACCTTGAAATTGAGGTCAAGGTCATAGGTAAATTTGACGTTGAAGATTTTGACCTTTGCTTTAAATTCATATTTATACATCATAAAGCTATAGGACTGAGCATTAGGTTACAAGCCATATGACCTTGAAAAATCAAACCGGAAGTGACCTTATGTAAACCGGAAGTGGCTATTTTTTGTACTAATAACATGTAAGAATGTATAGATTAATATATTTTTGAAAGCAGTGTAAAATTAACTATCAAATAATACCGGAAATGCCATTTTTTAGACCGGAATTAACAAATTATCTCCCTTATTTAAAATAAAATTGTATAGAAACCATATATTTTTGGAATCAGCAAACAATGGGCTATCATTTGACACTGGAACTGACATTTTAAACCGATTTTTTAATATTTTCAAATCCAAATATATCGTTAGGGGTGGAAAGACCTTCAATTGTTCTCTGAATTCTCTGAACAATTGGTATTTAATAAGGTCTTTCCACTTTTCCGTGGAAAGACTTATTGGTTTTCTTCTGATTATTAGGTCTTTCCACTTTTCTGTGGAAAGACCTTTTGGTTTTCTTCTGATTATTATTTTTTTCTTCTTTCGCCACTTTTTTCTGCCGGTGTTTTTTTGTTTCGCAAGATGTCGCTTAGATTTTTTGTGTATGATATCGAACAGTTATTGCGATTTTGAAACTGACCCTATTTAGCCGAATACTTTTTATTGTAAGAGTTATCTCCCCAAACACTGTTTTTCTTCTGTACCCATCTCCTTCGCAACCGTAAAAGATTATAACAAATTTATGTCTCCAATTTGTTCGTTATATCCTCAGGATCTTAAGAATAATTTTGACCGAAGCGGTCCAGAAACTCCATATGAGAGTTATTTCCCCTTCTGTATTCAAAATAAGTAAAATGTAATTGTAATTGGTAAACCATAAATGATAGCGACCTAGGGTCTTTTGATTTGAGGTCCTTGGTCCAAAAAAAAGAAAAAAGGGTCAAGGTCAAAGGTCAAGGTCATTTTTAAATTTGGATTTTGGCTGATTTTCACCTCTTTTCAAACACGATATAAAATATCGACAACATATTTTGACTTAATTGTTAGTTGCGACATGTCGTAACACATACATATCGGTTTAAAGGGTACGCTTACATCAAATTAGAGTTTTCTCCCCTCTTTTATTTAAAAGTATGCATATGGTGATATAACTCATGAACCAAATATAATTAAGTCCTAGGGTCTTTTGATTTTAGGTCCTTGGTTGATGACCTTGAAATTGAGCTCTAGGTCATAGGTTAAATTGATGTTCTAGATTTTGACCTTTGCTTTTACCTCATATGTATACATGATAAATCTATGGGACTTTTTGCATTAGATTTCAAGCCATTTAACCTTAGAAAAGCCAACCGGAAGTGACCTTGTGTAAACCGGAAGTAGCTTTTTTGTACTTAATTAATGTAAAAGTTTATAGAACCAGATATTTTTGGTATCAGTGTGAATTAAACGTTTTATAATACCGGAAGAAACATTTTTCAAACCGGAAGTAACAAATTATCTCCCTTATTTAAAACACATTGTAAAGAAACCATATATTTTTGGAATCAGCGTACAATAAGCTATCATTTGAAGCTGGAAATGACATTTTAAAACGAATTTTACTATTTTCATATTAAAATACATGTTTTTTTGTGGAAAGACCTTCAATTGTTCTCTGAACAATTGGTTTTTAATTTTAATTTTTTTTCTTCTTCCGCTACTTTTTTTCTGACGGTGCTTTTTCGTTTCGCAAGATGTCGATTAGATTTTTTGCATATGATATCGAACAGTTATTGCGACTTTGAAACTGACCCTGTTTAACCGAACACTTTTTATTGTAAGAGTTATTTCCCTAAACACTATTTTTCTTGTGTACGCATCTCCTTCGCAACCGTAAAAGATTATGACATATTTATTTCTCCAATTTGCTCGTTATATCCTCAGGATCTGAAGAATAATTTTGACCGAAGCCATCCGGAGACTCCATATGACAGCTATTTCCCCTTTTGCATTTGATATAAGTGATATACATTTGCAACTGGTAAACCATAAGTGATAGAGACCTAGGGTCTGTTGATTTGAGGTCATTGGTCCAAAATTAAGAAAATTATGTCAAGGTCAAAGGTCAAGGTCATGTTGTGATTTTTTACATTCAGTTCATATCGCTTCTTCCCAGAAAGAGTTATAGATATCGACAAAACAATTTAACCAAAATGTTTGTCTTGACATATCCTTACTGGAAATATTTTGTCAAAATGGTACGCGTCATTTTATTGAAGGGTCTATGCCCCTGTTATGGTCAAATCAACAAATTACTTATCAAAACTTCAAACTTTGCAGCTATCATGTTGTAAATGATTCTTATCTCAATTATCAACCACAGTCTTCCACTACACTCACCCCCTTTTTACAACTGATATTTTTTTTTAGTTATCCCATTTCTATGAGAGAGAAAAATTCGCTTATAGTCCCGTACATTTTACTGTAAAATGCTAATCCTTCTTATGTACAAACTTCTTTCTGAAATAGAAATCCATCCCTGCAAAAATCTGCTTCAATTCATGTATTTTCTTTAATTAATCGATAAATGTTTTGTTAAAATACTATAACAACAGCATTATTTTTGTGTGCATGCAATGAATGAAGACTCGTGATCAGCGATTAGACAATAGTTTACCTGTAAAATGAACCAAGAAAATATATTCCCGTTAGACACGTGCGGTCCGCTTGATTGAGAAATTAAAATGAATGACATAGAAATCGCTCCCAAGTTCGTAAATATTACTGAAATCCTACAATCAAATTTCTAAACATGCATTAAAATACAAATCTGTGCTCCCGTAAACATGTGTACGTAAAATGCATGCATGATCTGTAAAAAATAAAACCAATAGTGATCGTGTTTCTCCAATCAATACACATGTGCTCTGTTCAACGGTCTCCCCCGAAAAGAAATTAATATTCCAGACATATATATTTGAGCGTCACGTGACTTCACAACACCATCGCGCGCGCGGACCTAAAATTAGAATATAACATTCCATATCCAAATATAGAAAGCGAAACTTCCAAGATAAAATGTTACTCAGTTTTTTCCTACAAGTTCAAACAAAATGCACACACAACAACAAAAAAAAAACATGAAGTCCATGTTCCCGTAGACAATAGAGAAAATTAATAAAAAGAAGTATTAGGATTTTTATTCATTAGGAAATCCAGCTAGGCCGTCCGTTTGGCTGTCCGGGATAAACAAGTACGCAGACACGTTTTGTCAGAATACGGACGTTAAGTCTGATGCCTCGCATAGAAAGAGAGTGCCATGCAAACAATCAATCAATCAATCAATCAATCAATCAATCAATCAACCAATCAAACAATCAATCAATCAATCAATAAAAAAAACCAAATTAATCATGTTTCGGAGTGGAAAGACCGTTAACAATTGTTTTTAAAACAATTGATTTATATTTTAACTTGTTTTGCTATTAATAATTTTTCATTTTTTTTTCTATCAAGATCCAAAAACAAACAAAAAATTAAAACATTAGCATAAAAACGTTAAATAATGAAAAGATAATGCGAAGACATATATATTATAAGAACCAGACCTTCAGCATGTTAAGAGTTCTAATTTATCATAAATCATCATGCAATAAGTAAAAACGGTTGATCAGAACATTTTTTTGCGGAAATTTAGAGAGGTAAAACAATATAATAGACGGTAACCATTGACAACCCAATGGATCAGAGGCGCCTGTTTAGGGACAGAAATATAACAGTGACGGTGTTACACACAATATATAAGAAAATCCATAATCAATTGTTCTTAGTACTACAAGTACTTTATTTGAGAGAGACAATAAGGTTTTTTGATTTTTCATCAGAACTGATACAAGTTATTTCTAATACTGCTGTTTGAAAATTTTCCAATAATTTGTTCTCTTTTTAAGGTAAGCAAAAGAAAATGTACAAATGAAAGAGCAATGGAACTTTCATCCATGATGACAGAAGACAAAAGACCGGATACTGAAGTGGATGAAAGAAGAAAACAGAAATATGTTCGTTACAAACAAAACCAGTCTTTGAAAGACATAAATGTTTTACAACTTATACTAAAGCAAAAAGATAAACATCTTCACTTATTGCAAAAAGAAAACTGCTTACTCCAAGATCGTTTAAACAAGCAAACAATAGCACTCCTAGGAGAAATAAAAGAGAGAGATAATAATTGAAAATCTTATATGCCTTCACAACAAAATTAAAGAATTCGACAAGTTCCAAGACATGATAAAGGAAAATATCCAAGTTGGGTTGAATGTAAAGCTAGATACAGTCATAGGCGAGATGGAAGTCATGCGTTCTGCAATAGATGACCTGTTGGTTGAAGCAAGACAAAAAAGCAACAGTATTTCAGATACTAAAAATGTTACCTTAAACATTATTAAGCAGAAAGGAATTTTGCAGATTTCTACCGAGGATTAACTTTCCATAGCAAAACAAAAATGTTTTTCTTTTTTTTACTTTTAATGTAATCAAGACAAACGAAACTGCTACAATGTGTACAGTATAAAACTAAATAGTATATATATAGACTAATTACTGTAAAAAATCTAGTGTCCTTTATACAGAGTTTCATTCATTCTTCATAAAACGGAAATTTTTACAATGTCTTCAATAAACAGCGATTTGCTGTAACATGTTTTTTTTTATGGAAACTGTAGCAACATTTACTGAGTGTATTTTCATTTGGGATAAAAACACATTGTTTTACACATTTGACCGTGATTTGTACTATGGAAGTAATATATTTACAATAAAATACGTCCAAGGTTCGGTGTATGTTGCAGTTTTTTCTCATCCTTTATTCATAAACATATGTCTCTTTAGACTTTGAAATGTTCACCTAGCAAAAAAAAAAATGGTTATTTGATATTTTTTTACTTTTTCGTATTCAATTATTTATTGTTTTTTTTTTAAACAGATAACTTATTTTCAAATATACAACTTTGAAGAGCACTCAAACCAAGGGGATTAACTTTTCAGTTTTTCAGTTTTTAACTATTACCCATATATTTCACTGTTCAGCTAAGTTTCTCTCTCCCCATAACTTTAAAAAAAAAAGTTTTTAAAAATTACAATTGATATGCAATAAATTTTATATGGCGTTATTTGGTGGCTCAGCTTTTTTTATTCATCTCGTATTGCTTGTCATTTTTTTCTGTGAAAAGTTAAGTCTATCTATCATACTTTATTGAAGGGCAATAAGTCTCGTATGGAATCAGTTATAAGTTTCAGTTTTCATAGATCTAGCATTGTTGATATTTTTTTCTCTTTTAAATTTCTGTTTCTGTTTATCGATATTGATACAAAGCAAAAACATTAAAACGTCATATTAGCATTTTTGTTTATCTTGTGTTAAATTTTCAGATTAGTGGCTATCTTTGTTGATTTGAAAATAATTACTCTAAGGATTATTTAGGATTTTCGGCCCAAATTTGTGTTGGAATTGACGAAACAGTTTAATAGGAAAATTTTAAAAACGTTTTTTATGAAGAACATTACGACAAGTTATGGCAAAAAATAAGTAAAAATAAAAAAAATAAATTCCACCGGAACTTGAAACCTTAATGGTTTTTAGAATTCCTATGTTCTCAGTACAATATTTTGCCTCGTAAACATTATTATAGATAAAGTAACACTGAACCTGCAAAATATTTGATACGAATAAAAAAAAAAAAATCCAGATTTAAACGATTAAAAAGTAAAATCACAAAAATACTGAACTTCAAGGAAAATTCAAAACGGAAAGTCTTTAATCAAATGGCAAAATAAAAAACTCAAACACATCAAACGAATGGATAACAACTGCTAAATTCCTGACTTAGTACAGGCATTGTCTTATGTAGAAAATGATGGGTTAAACCTGGTTTTAAAGCTAGCTAAACCTCTCACTTGTATGGCAGTCGCATAAAATTCCATTATATTGACAACGATGTGTGAACAAAACAAACAGACATAATAGGTAAAAATGTCACAAATAGGGGTACAGCAGTCAACACTGTGTTATAATCTTAATCACTATAAAAACAAACAAATATGTAACAAAGAAGCACAAAAATGCATATAGACAAAACACATTAGCAAAAATGAAAGACAAGAATACAAAATTTACAATAGCACAATAACACAATGACGGGATGTAAAAGTAAAGAGCCATGTCATATGTATCAAAAAAACAAAAAAGGCATATAGACACAGCACATTAGCAAAAATGAAAGACAAGAAGAAAAAACATTATCATAGAACAATGAAAGGATGTATAAGTACAGAGCCACTTCATATATTTAAAAGAAACACAAAAAGGCATATAGACAAAGCACATAAGCAAAAATGAAAGACAAGAATACAAAAATTATCATAGAACAATAACACAGTGACGGGATGTATAAGTACAGAGCCACGCCAAATGGATAACATTATAAACAGACTAAACAGTAAAAGTAACATTCATAAAGACAAATAAAAGAACAACACGTTATCAAGATGATAAACAACGTCAGTGCCCAGAATCTATACTTCAAGACCATCGTGTATTATTTGTGAAGTTGATTCAGAATATTTATCAACAAGGTCTTGGTACCTTCCGATGAACTTTTTTTAGAAAAAGGACGAGTTCATAAACTTTCTACTCAGACACTGGTGACGTTTTAGTCTGAGTATGAACCAGGAGCTGCAAGCTCTTGAATACCAAATAAGTTGGGAAATGTATATCCCATATGCAGGTGAAGTTTGTATATTGCTACTAAGGTGGGGGAAATTGAAAATTTCAAATTAAAATCGTCTCGTTTGTCATAGATTCTGGTACTGAGATGACCGTGTATGTCAAACTCGAGGTATAAGTCTACAAATGAGGCGAAGGAAGCCGTGTCTGTTGTTTCTTTAATTTTTAGTTCTGGGGGGTATATTAATGGAACCCAATCAGAAAAGTTTGGATTGTTTATGAAAAGAACATCATCAATATATCTGAATGTGAAATTAAATGACCTGGCTTCTTTGGTCTTCTTGTTTTTGACGAGTGTCTGGAGGAAGTCCGATTCATATGAAAATAAGAAGAGGTCGGCAAGGAGAGGCGCACAGTTTGTTCCCATAGGAATGCCGACAATTTGTTGAAAAAATCTACCTCCAAATTCAACAAATATGTTGTCAATTAGAAACTCCAGCATACTGATCACTTGTTCCTCTGTGTAGCATGCTTTACCTTTTTGTTCACTATTAACAAAATGTATATCCCAAAGTAATAAATTTATAGCGTATGCTACCATTTTTATGTTGAAAAGCATTGTGGATTATTTGTTTTAGACGATTTTTCAATTTCACATGAGAAATGGTGGTATACAGGGTTGAAAAATCAAAAGTTTTGATAGAACTAATCTCAGAAAAAGATCGAGATTTAAAATTATCCAGAAGTTCTTTAGAGTTTTTAGAATCCACATATGGTTAACACCACAACGCGAGTAAACAGTTTCGCAGTATTGCTGAAGACCCTTTTTCACTGCGGACAGAATTTTTTGTCAATCTAATGGACAATTCTTTAGTCGAACATGCAGATAAACCGGCAATGTACCGTTGTTTGTACGGAATTTTGTGAAGCTTAGGTATCCAATACAAACAAGGTAAGTCTTCCGATTTGTTGTTTAATGTAATGTTCATTGAAGCCATGAAGGACTTATGATTCGCCAAAATCTCATCCTTGTCAAATGATATTTTTTTGTATATGGGATTACCTGAGTGCTCATTTATTCCTAATTCTTTTACAAGACACTCGTAGTAGTACGATTTACATACAAAGACAATATTATTTGAAGCTTTGTTCGCAGGAACAACAACATACTTATCATGAAGAGATGATAGACATTTCACAGCCTCTTTGTCTCTAAAAACAGACTTTGGTCGATCATTCACACAATTTTTTAACTTATGAATGCGAAGTTTTATCAGAGACCTGTTTGTTTCACCCATTCTGACAAAGTGTCCAGTTCAACTTCTTCTCGTTTAGTCCATGTTCTGGCGTAGTCCTCAATGGCATCCATAATTATTTTGAAGTTATGGTTCCAATTGATGCGTTGTGGTTTTCTAAACTTAGAACCATGAGAAATCATCTATCGGAGATTTTCATGTTGAATTAAATTTGTTTTGAGAGTTTCCCATTACAGACACATATAAAAAAGAAGATGTGGTATGATTGCCAATGAAACAACTCTAGACAAGAGACCAATTGACACAAAAATTAACAGTATAGGTCACTGTACAGCCTTCAACAATGAGCAAAGCCCATACCGCATAGTCAATTAAATTGCCCCGAAATCACAAATGTAAAACAATTCAAACGAGAAAACTACTGTACAAAACAAACTCTAACTTCTGTTTTATTTGGTCTTTGCTGGATAGTTGTCGCATTGGCAATCTTATCCAGACATGGAGATAATTTTTGATACACACCTGAATAAAACATTTATCAAGTTCGTATTAACTATGATTAATCATATCTTCTATATAACAATAATAAGAAAATGTTGTATGATTTCCAATGAGAAAACTCTCAACACTGAAATTAACAACTATAGGTTGCCTACGAACTTCAACATTGAGTTACACACATACCGCATAGTCAGATATAAAAGGCTTCGAGATGACAAATGTTCAACAATTCAAATGATAAAAATAATGGCCGGATTTATGTACAATATAATGACCAAAAAAAAAAACAAATATGATATACAGCAACATACGACAACCACTGAATTACAGGCTCCTGACTTGGGACAGGCACATACAGAAAGGTAAACTAGTTTGAAGGCACCAACCCTCCCCCTAACCTGGGACAGAGGTGTAACAATGCAACATAAGAACAAACTATAAACATCAGTTGAATGGGGATTAGCTCATCATTATATATATGGAAAGATTTAGTGAAGGTTTTAAGTAATATGTGGTAACGAAATCCCTGACTTAATAATTTACAAGTAATACAAAAATTACGTTCATTGAAATCCAAAACGTCAGAACAGACACGGGCATAAAGAACGTTTTGTGATATATAAACACTGTAAGATGGTACCAATGGAATAGCAACGTCCAAAAAAGGAAAATTAACAATAGGGAACGAAAAATCGTCACTTTCGTCGTAAATTTTAGTGAAGAGTCCCCATGTAAAACTGAAATATTTAAATCTAGGAAAGGACCATTATTACCGTTTATATTTGATTGATTAAAAGTAAATTCCTTTATGTAAATTTCGGCAGTATATCTAGAAAAATCTAGATTATTTAACGAAATAGTATCACAAAGATAACGGTATGTGTTGTTAAATTTATCAATTAAATGCAATTTATACGGTTCTTTACTGAGTTTGGTCATTACTGTTATTAATAAAAGTCTGATATTAAAGAGGTGCAATTGGTGTCAATACGAATACTTGCAACCAGTCGATTGACTTTATTGCCGTAACGTACATAAATATTACCAAGGAGAAAATTAACAGCTTCAAGCATCTCATCACACCTCCAGAAAGTATATCTAGTACATGTATATTGATTTATCTTTCCCATCAGAGAAGAAGGCTGTTGATGAGTTGCAGCAAAATATATTTGCGTTCAGATTTACCAGACGACCATTTAATTAAATAGGAAAAGATTGTGTGGCAGTGTAGTTTAAAGAGTTGAAAAGTCAAAACTGTCAACAGAATCAAAAAAAACTTCAAAAGCACGTAATTTATCTAAAACATCTAAAGAAATTATTACACTCCAAAATTATTTAATTCCACTTTTTCCTA